CAAAGAATCAGTGAGAAGCCGCTCCAACTCTTGAATGCCGCTAAGCTCAGATCGAGATTCCAAAAGCTGATGCTGTAGCAGACCCCAAATCATAAAGTCAATCGCATCGAGATGAAGGCTTTCATTTGGCCTAGCTCAATGGGCCATTGATCCTTCCTAATGAAGTCAGGGGAATTCTCTGTGACCCAAGATTGTACACTTCCAATTATATGCGGAGTAGCGCCCCTCCTGCCGCTAGGACCATTCACGATCCCCCGTAACTTCCGGAATAGCCGGAAAACATTCTCTTCCAACATGGAGCTGTAAGGTGTTGATTCACAGTCGTACCGGCAAAGAAGAGCTATTTTTTCCATAAAATGAGACCGCTGCATGCATCAGAATGCTTTGGATCTGCTCATCGACCACAACGCCGTTGTGGCACAAGTTGTGCCACACAACCTCATTCTCCAGGATATCAGTTTTGACCTTAACGCTCCAATAAACTCGCTCGTTTTGTGACCCGATTCGATTCGCTGTTGAAACTATGTTCGAGTCACTCGAACATTGATCGAGCTCGGACTTTGATCCTGCATCCATCGCGGTGGCTGATCTTCAGGACCTGGTCGACGAAAGCATCAGATGTTTTCGCCAGCTTCGATCATGTAGATTGGGTCACCCAATTTGGGTGTCGCTGACACACAATATACCTACTACTGATATCGTAACAGAGTCACTGGCTCAGTGGTAGCATATTGGTCTTTATTGATCACGAATCAGATGTTGGCAGGATCCCCCACGCGTGGAGCGGCGACGTAGAGTTGCCGGTGATTGAAGGGCGGTTATGATAGAAATACGTCCCACTCATTCCAGAGATTACCCTTCCGACTCAATTACTGATCGCTAAGGAAGTCGTAGTGGGCTGATAGTGGTCTTCTTTCTGTCGTCACTGCTAGTCTCTCTGGAACTGTAATGGAAAACACCGAAAGGATTGTTGGACACAACATTGTATGCTATAGGATATTTGTTTTTGATACAATAGTGGTCACAACTTCGGGGTATATGATTATTACCGTACTATTGCAACTACCGTACTATCGTACTATTGTACTACTGCAGGTCTGAAATGAAAGGTGGGTGGGTCATGAGTTTCTCGCGCTCTCCTCTTGATCTAAGCTCCCCATAAAAGCGTCAGCGCACTCGTTGCATACTACGAAGCTGTTTGGAATAGGGTCTTCGTGAGGTTAAGTGCAAACGAGACAGCTGTCGGCAGTATTGAGAGAAGCAATCATGCTGATCATCATCAGCAGCTGATGAATTACGATATGATATGAAAAGAAGAATATCAGGCAGGAAGCAAATGCGCTTGCGATGAAACTTGGGTAATGAGAGCACTTATGATAAGTGCATAAGACCATATGTAAAATGATTTCACTGAAACCTGCTGTAGTTATCGGGTCAGATCCATACTTCAATAACAGCGCCGGCGCGGACCACGCCGTGACAAGGCCATCAGCAGCGCTCTTATGGGAATAGATACAGTGGGATTCATCCATCGAATGGGGCAAGGCGCACCTGCTCTCGCAGACTGCTTTCGAAGCGCCTGTTGTCAGGCCAGCCGCGATGCGATTGTTCGTCCGATTAATCTTATTGTGAATACTTTTTTGGGGATTCTTCACGCCCGTGAGCATACCACGGGTTCCCAAAAGTCGATAGATTTGATGAGGGCGTGCCCGACCAGTGTGCTCAGCGATAACCTCTATAGCGCCCTTGGACGTACTGTCAGAGTTATAGGCATCCCTCTGTAGGCACTCCACTCTGTCGGTAGTATGTGGCGACTCCTCAACGTTCATCACGTCAGTACCATCGACTCGCCGGGCTGTTTAGATCGAACGGCCATCTCCCAAACCCATGTGGTGTCCCGAGTCGCGCAGCAGCCGGCGAAGTTGGAGATAGCGAGCAAGACGATCAGTCGGGAACTTTACAGTTTTTTAACGGATTTGTAGCGAGTTCTAGGGCGAGCGAGAGTAATTCGGCCGCCGAAAAAACTATCACCCATCCTGCGGAGACTCGTGCGTTGTTAGTGCAAATGCAAGAAAGCGATGTTGCGAACGAAAGAGGATAATGAAAAGAGTAAAACAGTAGGCACATTGCCTCCTCGAAACGTTATGTACTAACAACGAGGATGTGTGGAAGCTGCGAAGCGTTCGCTTCAAACGTTTTTACGCACTTTCTGAGAAAGTGACATCATCGTTCGCCGGAGAAAGTCTTTGATATCGGCGCCCCTCCTCTTAAGATGTGATGATGACCTCTACAGATTGACATAACAATGCAATGCAGTGTTATTGTTGAGTATGATGCAAAGTTTGCCCAATGACACAGTCTCGTCGGTGTATTCGAAGGTCATCGATCGGGCATTGAGTCGATTCCAGACCGAGCTACGACGGGAGGATGAGGAAGGGAGGGGTCGGGCTATACGTAATACGATGAGGGCATGGTGTGGTGAATATAATTTGTACTGGATGAGAGATAGTAGTGTCACTATTCTAGCGTGGTGGAATGTGCTCATGGTCAATTACGTGTGTTGCTGACAATACGGCAATTCTGTGGAATTTTCTGTTGAGTTTTGCACTATTCCATTCTGATGGTTAAACTTCAAAAATTAGGCTTGGAAACTCCTGAGCTAAGGAAACTGAACATGTATTTCGACACTGCTCGCTTTAAGACAGTCTCTATCGCATGCTGTGGCAAGGAAGTTATAGTAAACATCATTTCACTTTCTACGACTGCATGGTTACTGCTTGGCTGATGTTGTGTGGGAAATATACATATGGTCAACTACATGTGTTGGTGACAATCTGGAAACTCTGGCAGCAAGTTTCCATCGGTTTTTACACACTCCAATTCGCATGTAAACTCCTATAATTGGGCTTGGAAACTACTGAGTTCAGCTGAGGAAAGCGAACATATATTCCTCTAACTTCGGGAATATTAAAATCTCTAACTTTTATACTTGTGATTCGTATCAAGTATCGTTATAGGTGCTGACGTTCTGGGAGCTGTTAGAACGAGGTGGATGCATTTAACTAAGGAATGCTATTGCAATGAAGGACGGCTCCCGGCTGGATTGAAGAGACCAGCTAGTGCTGGGTAAAATTGAAGTATATGCAGTGTGGGAAAATTTGCACTAGGTCAACTATAGTACGAAATTCTTTGTGTTTTTAGTACACTTCTACACCTGAATTCGTCTGTGATAATTAGGGAGGAAACTCCCGAGCTCGGCTGAGGAAAGCGAACGTATATTCCTCCAACACTGATTATTCTGTTCGGGAACTTACATACTTGGAAATGTACATACTATCTGACGTTGTGTTGGTATGATCCAATTGGTTGTTAAATCTTATCACACACAAGGGAAATTTGAAAGTAGTATGATCGTTTCTCATTTCGACCATGGTTCGCTATGTGTATTGGTGACAGTGAGAAAATTTTGGGAATCTCTTGTGCACTTTTACGAGTAAATTGTCACATTTAATTTTGGACAATCCTGAGCTCGGCTGTTTTTTTCAGATCTGAAAATGGTGAAAATAACGTCAAAAAACTCCGGGTGGAGCGTGAAAAAACGGCCAACGATTCTGATGACGAAGATGACGACTTTGCAGATGAATTCGATGATGCTGAGTTTGTCCATGCTACAGCGGCTGGTCAGAAGGCCTCAGCTGAGGAACATGATCGAGCGGTAGCGGCTGAGACGAGGGAAAGGGAAAAGGAGGAGAGGCAGAAGGAAGTTGAGAGGAAACAGGTAATGTGCTGGGAGGTGTGGTATGAATTTGAAAAAATCGCGCATACGAGTTGGGAAAGGAGAGCGAGAACCTAATGAGAATACCCAGAAATTGCTGTGTTGTCATCAACGTATGTAGTGATTTATATTCGTGTATTCCCACACCGCTGCGAAGGAGTGTTGGGATGTGTGTTGGCTTCCCTCGGTTAAAATTACAGAAATTTACACACGACCTGTGGTAGAAGGATATGGTGAACTAGCGAGAGTCTCCGAAAATTATATCGGAATTTCTTTATCGTCTATGTACATATGTTCCCATGCCTTTGTATAGCAGTGTTGGAAAATGCGGTCGCGTAAATGTGGATAATCCTTTTCTACGTGTCACCAGCACGCGTAACTGACTACGTGCATTGAAGGTTGGAGTCATCTCAGTTCGAGGCCTGGTCAAAGATAGAAGGGGAGCTGATAGACGAGGAACGGTTGTTGGCTGAAGAGGATGCGTGTTGGAAAATGGTGAGGCGTGTGTGCATGCGTGCATACCATCTTTTTCGCAGATCATCATAACCCGTTTGTGTTAGGTTCCGGAGCCTGAGAAATGTCCGGTGAAAATCTATGGGAATGTTGAGGTTACTGAAATGGGTTCTAATAAAAGAAGTAAATGGAATGTGTCAGCTGATAGGATTCTGGTGGCTTCAGCCAGGGGGGAATGGCTTGCCTCTAGCATGGAAGTAAGTGTGGGAAAATATACATGTGTTGATGAGAATATGGAATTGGTTTTCATACCCTTATACCTGAATTCGAGTAGTGAGCGACAGTTGAGGAGAGCGAACGTGTATTTCAGCACTGTAAATGGGCGTCTTATTAGGAAGTTCTTCCGAAAGGCATGCTACTTGTTTTAGAGTAGACTTAATCGCACTTGATAGTCGTGACGTCGTCTATAGTCGAGAATTGGACGAATATGCTGCGATGTGATGGAAGGCGTTTGGCTGTCGTTTCAGGGTTCTTTTGTGCATCTAGGAGCGGAAACCGCTGAGTAACGATGATAAAGAAGATTTCCTTTCAGAGCTCACCATTGTGACGAGTTCGTTTAATTCGGGAACATAAGTGTTGTCGTATTCCTTGATTCACTCGAGTTTGGAGCGGCCCAGTTCGGCCGCGCCAACGAGTGAAGATCGAGGATTGGGTATATGGCATATACTGTATGCGGTACATAGTACGGCATACGGAGATCACCGATTGAGGTGGGATCTTGAATCAAGATTCTTGATACTCAGTGTGGGAATTCTTAGGAGAACACCTTTCCAAACAGCGTTTACATTACAACCTGTGCTTTCTTGTGTTATATAAGATGCTGCTTCCAATAGTGCGCTGTACCACTTGTTGGTGGTATCGTCGTTGATGCACTCTTCGAGGTATCGTGTGTTTGTCCATGCACCTACTCAGTAGGTCCTACTGCTTGATACGGACGCACGGTGTGAGAGATGAAGAATCTCAAAATTTCTTCTGCAACTCTCCAACTATTTCTTCTCTTTCGTTTCAACTCTATTATATTTCTGGGACAATTTCTCATTCGAACTACAACGATCCACACGGGTGGAAGTGTCTCGTAGTTACAGCTTCTGAAGTTGTTTTACGTGTGATTTATTGCCAGTAAATTATTGGCTCCATGCGCGACTTCATTATGGCTATTCAGCGAGGTTATTCATGATGGTCCAGCAGAATACTGGCGATTCACGAAAAGCTGGAGAAGGTGGGACTGTTGGAAATAATGAAACCTGAGAAAGAGAGGTGAATTACTAGCGTATTGCTGATCATCGTCGAAGGTGCGAAAACAGAATTCAAGGAGAAATTTATGTTCAGGCTATACTGTATCACCGCTATATTACCAGGAATCGGGTTTCCTTACCTGAATTCCTGGTCTTTGAATATGTAAATTGTCGGTCACATGACTCCGATGTGGTCACCGGTATGACATTCACACCATGTATCCTTGTCGTTGACTACTGTCAATCATGACTGCTCGACATCCGCGATATGCTCAGCATTCGATTCTATGCTTGAATGCTCAGCTTGAATCCAATAGCGCTCAATAGATATGTATCGACCGCTATTGGATTCAAACCGTAGTAACTCGAAGCTTCATTGTAATCAAATATTAGCTGTTATCGAGCCGTGGAATGCAGACGTTCTCATTCCGTTAGCAGATTTGCTGACTAAATGATTCACTGTAAATCAGTAGATCAGGCGCATCACTGGATGAGCTCAGCGGAGGAAGCATGTGCTCGATCTTTGAGAAGAGGATTCCAGGCTGGAATTTTCAGCGACTCTCTGAGAAGGGTTGGTACCTACTGGAACAAGAAGACTGTCGAATTCTTCTATGTTCATAGACATCGTTACAGATTCTGTAGCGTCCTTTAATACAGAACAAATATTGCCCACTCTAGCAATATTGATGCCGAAGCAGGACTTTGCTCGTAGATCTCCAACCAAATGGTTCAGACCGAATGATCGGTCATTGATCACGACTAGGCGTGGATCGTTCGACTTGTTATGCGACGATTGTCGACAGATGCAGTACTGATATTGATGGACGTTCTCTCCAAAGCTCACGGCAGAGGGAGGAGATGCACGGTGATTGCTATAGGGCACCACCCTTGCCAGGAGGCTGTACAACTGTGTCAGAAGCACGGCGGCGAAGAGATCAGGCGGAGTATGGTCCATACTATATGAAGGATTAGGGGGAGAATGCTCTTTGGCGAACATGTCCTGTTGAAGGGGACGTCGACTTTGCTCGTCTCAAGGAGCTTGTGAAAGGATTTTTCTATAGAAGCTTTCATTAAAAGTTTCTAGTTATTAGTGAAATACTTGATCTCATATGTGTAGTATCTTGTACATGGTCATGATGGACTGACCATCATCTAACAGTCCTCAGTGAAGTTATGCAGGAACCGCTTATAATAGATCGCATGTATGGTGTGAAGTAGCAGTCCCATATTTTGTGTCTGAAGTTTCCAAGAATCCATGGCTGTCGATCAGCCTATTTTGTTGCTCGTGCACTTCGAGGGAAATGCTATTCAATGGATAGTATCCATGGTATTGCCACCGCCAGGTGTCACCGCCATGATGGGAACATTCCGATTGCTCAATGAATTCATTCTATGAGCGAATTTTGAAATGACCTCTTGCCGAATGAGTGGATTCAGGTGACAATGTCATCGTGGCGTGGGCTGCAAGCTGCCCGGTAAACGTCCTTATCCGGACCGCGGGGGCTGCAAGAGTGATCCCTGGCAGAGTCATCGAATGAGAAGACGCACTGCTTAGAGTCGAGTTGTCGAGGCCTCCGACGATCGCCTTCGTGAGCCATATCACTAAATATGATTGGAATTATTTTGTCCCATGGTGGAGAGCCAGTCTGGCTCAGCCATAGTGATTTGGCCCAGTGAGTGGGACTCAGGGGTGCTGGTCAAGATGATGCAATCACGCATGATGCGCACGATGATGCATTCATTTCGGCGCAACTTGGACCTATGATTGTTGCGATGTTGTTGACGAATCCGTAGGTTCTTCACGCTCCTCATTTTCCTTCTCAAGTATTTGGTCTCAATCTTCTTCAAGGCTTGGTCTTGTTTCTAGAGATAGTAGTCGTCAGATACAACTTGCTCGGCCTCCCAAGACTGACTAGAGTATCATCCACCTTACGGGATAGTTTTTTCATCGTGAAGTTTCAGCTCTGCGAAGAGAGTTGTGTTCAATAGTTTAGGACCGCATCATTCGAGCTGCTTTCGCTTCGGAATTCGTAGCGACGCCGAGTAGATGAACTACATCTTGAGAGGTCAGTGTCTGTAGTCCCCAAGTTTTCCCGCGGTTGGCTCCCCATCATGAAGACTCCTTCCCACATCCTGTCTTTGGAGTTCAGCTGTCTCGATGAGCTATGGAGGAGGGCCGGCCCTAGGAGGGAACCTATAGACGACCTGAACCAGGAGATCATGGGGTATATGTCGGCCCCTGGCACGAAACCAATACAGAAAGGTCGAAATCATACCAAAATTCCTGAGATCCCTCAATACGTGTTTATCCGCGAGGGTAACGTCATGGGAGTGTATCCCACTTACGAGTATCTTTTCGTGCGACCTCTTTTGGGAGGCCCAATACCTTCTCTGGTCCTTGATGCTTGTCATGCTGATGGTTCCTATGCGTACGACTCTGAGCAAGATCATCTTGTCGTCTTATACAAGGGGAACTCGAAGATATCAGTGTACGATATGAAGACTGGTCTGTTCCTACGGCTTCTCTTTGTGGAAGGACTCGCGATTAATGGAGAGAAGACAAATCTCGTATGTGTTGATGATATGATATTAATGACTACTCTGAACGGCAAAACCGTGGCATTCAATACAATATCCCTCAGGGGTGAGGGAGTTCACCGAAGGGCTCATGCGTGGTGGCATTTCAAGGTCTCCTCGACCATGGACTTTGCTCCTGCTTTGACTTACGCTCACGGTAAAGTGAAAATGGCTAGAGTCGATTCGAAAACGCACAGTATCATCATCACACAGTTCCTGCTCGGGAAAGGTCCGAGATTGCCTGTTTCTGCGAAAAGGGAGGAAGTCATCCCTTTCCAAGATTGCGAAGTGAAGAATATTTGGTTTATCGGAGAACAATGGGTTTGTATTTCTCACTGCGAAGATGGCATGGGTTGGCTGAGCGTAGTTGACAAGTCTCAGCAAACTAGTATCATGGTAGGACATAGCTATTCTCATCATGCTTTGGAGGGGCCAGACGATACAATTGTAGTCGTATACTCCGATAAGGGCAAGAAATCATGCAGCGGATTCGTGATGACATATTTCTTTTGATAGCAAACCTCATTGATTCTTATTCAGGAGCATCTTTTTTTCCTCTGACGAATTCGAGAATTAAGTATTCTGCGTTTAGTGAAGGGTTCACATTCTTACTTGGAGTTTTCTCTTTTCCCATGGCCCTCGACAGACAACTAAATGAGAAGGTTTCATGTTGGTATTCTCTCTTCCTCAGACCTCTGAGTCCCTATTGATTTTTGTGACCATGCTGGCTCTTTCGAAGTCGGTTGATAGTGATTCCGGTTGCGAAACGGAGAGCAAAGATCAAACCACTTCCAGGAATAGAGTATTCCTGGTGAATGAGTATTCGAAAAACTCAACATTGGGGAACAGGAAACCGGCGAGCATTCCCGAGAGAGCAGCTTGTGTCTGCTGCGCCACTGGCGAGTCTAGGATGGACTCGGGCAAATCGTGTTCGCATCCCCAGGTCTCCATGGTGGCGTCAATAGACGATGGAGTCTCTTGACCTCACCTAGTGCATCGGACTGTGAGTTGGCTTAGCTGGGCGTGCTAAGCGATTGATCTCGGGTGGAAGAGCTGGGTTGTGCGAGAGAGGACTGTGATTCACAGTGAGCCCCAGCCCTTCAAAAGAGCAGGAGTGTGTGGTGAATGGGGCCACACAGGCTCACGGCCGGCACTTCGAACCGCTCCAGTGTTTCAATCCCGGTCAAAATCAATGAGAGCTTCGTTACACAAGTTCTTCCCGAGACGACTCCATTTAATGGAGTCCATTGGCTGTGCGCTTGCGTGCTTTCTGCGACGATTTCGCGCATGCGGACACCGTCCGATTGCGTCTCACTCTCTGTTCAAAACAAGAAGAACGATCCCGTCCGGTTATTCAATTCGAAAAACGGACTGTTCTTCGTACTATCGCAGGAGGCTCCGATTGAGTTAGCGACAGAGTTTTCTGAGGAATCTGCGATGTTCTGGAGTGTGAATTTCTCGCTCGCCATTATATATGAGAAACGGTGTCGAATATGACCGTTTCACTTCATTACGTAGGCGCTCTTCTTTCGGCGTGATCAATTGACTTCTCCTGAATTTCAAGAGCTCTCACGGAATTGGATTTCTCGTTTAAACTCGATCCTGGCAGTGGTCTTGAAACTGAGGAGAGATTTATTGAGCATCCTGACCATATTTAAGGGCATCTCTCACTAATTCCTCACTCAAGACAGAACGGCACGAGAACTTGAAAAACGTGAGGGAGATAAGGAGCGGTAAATTCATTCAAGATCCTCAGACTCACCCGGGGTGAGTCACCCCTACGTTGAGAACCCTTATAGGAACTCCTTTACAGGTAATCCTCGTTTCAGCGTCAGCCTTTCAAATATGATGAGTGAGGAAGTTCGTTCGTTTTACTAAGCCGTGCAGCTAAGGAGTTACTTGAGGTTACGGCCCCGGTCTTTACTCGTGCATATGCGAAGAAGTGTATAACTCCGCTCAGACCGCATGTGCACGATTCATTTCACTTAAGATTCAAGTAAAATGAATCGTCACTCAAGTCTTAAGTGCAAGGGAACTAACCTTGAGAATGATGCTAAGAAATATCTCAAGCGACTTGAGCCGGAGGGACGTACGAAATGTTCTTACAGTTTCCTTAAGTTAGTGAGATTAGGGTTCCAACCTTGAATTCAACCATGCTTATGGGGTTAGGGGGAGAGGCCTCGAGCCTTGTCGAGGTTGTAGCCTTAAACACACTACTCAGTTAACTAGAGTTGCGCCTGGGGAATCTCCTGCAGGCGCAGCGTGAGTGAAGACGGTGATGGACATTAATGCTTGGGGTTCTATCTCATATCTCATGTGGCGTTCACTCTCAATCTTGGGTTATATGCTGCAGTAAAGCATTAGCGTAACGTAGCATACCTCCTCTAGTATGAACTACTGAGCCTTTACACAGTGACATATAGCCTTTCTGGTTGGGAGCCAGCTTTGGCACTCATCATCGTTCTTGAACCTCCTAGTTAGGCTTGAGTCTTAGTGATGGACCGGCCATTATGGAGATGGTATTAACCCCTTTTATTATTTGCCTCTGATTGGCTGCGGACTTTTGATATTTCTCGCTAGGCGAAGCGCAACTGCTGCGATCGTGTTTTTATAACTCAATACGCAGTTTACTGACATCGGTTGCTGTCAGCACTGTTCTTTGATGAAGTTATATCCTCTTCGTGGGAGCATGGTTACCCTATGGTTGTGGAAAATCATCACAAATAATATTTGAGATCAATTGTGGTATAGATAGTCCGCTGTGCTATTGGCATAAATTATCTCTCCTTGCCGACCCTCTGATTTAGTTCTGTCAAACACATGCTCTCACGACATGTCGGCTTCATCATAACACGAATAGCAAGTCTGACGCAGACAGCCTCCCAGTAGGTGCACTTGTGATACGCCTCCACCAGACTCAACGCTGGGCGACTTTGATATTATCAATGACTCCGTACATACATTCTTCGTAAAATATACTTTCGAAATTCTAAGGGATTTTTTCAATTTCTGTAAGTCACATTTAGGAGACCTTTCGAGTGTTCTGGTTTGCAATTACGAGTTTGTGAACAGAAATCTGTTTCGCAGGCCATCGATGCGTTCTTGCATAAGGAATTTTGGAGCTGACAGTCGAGCTATGAGTAAGAGCGCTGAGGATGCACTACAGTCTATAAAGGAGGCCAGAGAAAAGGCTCACAAGCTGAAGCTAAACGCAATGTCTAAAAAGGAAAGGAGAAAATTTCCTGTGGGAATGCACCCTCACGCGAATGGGCGATTTGACGTTTGTTTTTTCAGGGCAATTTCATGAATTTTAAGCTCGGTGGTGGCCGACCTGAGTTCTATCATGTCGAACGGTACGGCTGTAACAATGTCGATCTCCTGACTAGCGATAACGTTTGGTGTGGCCTCAGGAATCAAAATGGTCGGATCTTTGAGCCTGATCACGTATTTGAAATTGTCGTGTATGGGACTAAGAACAACTGCCAGGTGGGACTCGTCGCTGCATGCAATTGCTTTCGCTCTTCGGAGGATGTGAACGAGGTTATAGGAAAATGCAACCTCACGTGCTTGGTTGTGGTGTGCAGGGGAATAGGAATTTGAGTATTCACCGACGCGTTATGTATATAAATGACAACCCTGGGGTTCGAACCTGGGTCCTCGTTGTGTGCTATATCCCAATGAATTTCGTGTTGTGATAGGCTACTGTTATAAACAAGTCATGGAATAGGAGGACGGTATCGTTGACGAATGCGGGTAGGGTTGGTATAAGAAAATGTAAGAGGAAAGGCAATAAGACAGCAGAGCGGTAAGGCACAGTTGAATTGATCCCTGGTTCGATTCCTGGGACCTCCATCTCCAGCCTCATCTTGTCAGGATCGGACAAAGTGTCGCTAAGAAGATGCGACGGTTAGGCGTGAGTTGCGCTGACTTGCGATTCCGTTATCTAATGAGGGTAAGTGGGGTTTGTGGGGATGCCGTCTTGGCTCTATAAAGTAGTAGTCCTCATGGATGATTCGCCATCACTACAGCAAATTTTTTTACGGAAAAAATTAATTTTTTACCCATTTTGTTAACATTTTAGCCATGGCTTTAAAAAATACCGCGAAAATCAATGTTACACCCGGTGCATTTGAAAGTTAAAAAGTTTAATTTAACGAATTGTCAGTAGAAAATTAATTTGCCCTGGAAATGCTGAAGTGTGGCGTCTTATGCTGGTTGATAGTCACTTTAGCAATACTCATAGATCTGTTCGGTTGCAGGGCAAGAACGTGGATATTAGTTTTGGTTTTGGAAAAGAACAACTGTTCTATTGTAGATGGATGAGTGTATTCGATTTGTGGAACTCCCTGATTGTTTCACGGGAGGAAGAGTTCAAACGTGGTGTCTCATCCTTGGAGTTTCGCCCGTTTTACGTGAAGTGGGAAACGCGATATGAAGTGACTTGGAAACACTTCGCGAACTAAACTCATCACGTGTTTTACGCGTTATTCACTGCTGACATGCGTTTCTCGCGCCAAGTGAAATGTGATGAAATATGTTTTCACGGGTGAAACTACATTGAACCATTGTTAATGAAGAAATTCTAATGAGGGTAAATTCGTCGAATTCATCAAACTGTAAAAGTCTTCGGTGACCGATCTCCGACCCAAGGAGTCCTCGTGTCCAAATAAGAACTGTTCGAGTGCATCCTGCGCTGTTTCAATGTGTTGACTAATGGAGTTTCACAACCCGTTTTACGTGAAGTTGCGTAAAACTCGGTGGAGAACGCGATATTCGCGGTGCTATGGAGTAGTCGTGAAATATATTTTTCACATTACGGTCAGTGAAACCCCATTGTTGTTCTACTGTGTAGATCGGTCCGTTCGTTCGGGGTCTTACTACCAATGGCTTAAAGGTAGTGCAGCCTGTCCTTACATATTGTTGATTTTGTTTATAACAGATAACAAGTGTGACACACGAGCCTAGATTGCCTAAGGGGAAGGTGAACCGACCGAGGAAGCGGCGCCGTGTGTAACACAAGTTGCCGAACGCCCTGCTACTGTGGTCATGTTTCTGATGAATACTACTTGCGTTGTGTTCCATAGGAGTTCTCGAGTTTATAGTTGCGACTGATTCTGTTTGTAAGGGCGGGAGAGTAAGTGTTTAATCTGAGTAGAAGCTGGAATACAAGTGAGCAGCGAGACGAAGGCAATAGTTGCGCACATTTAATATTCCTTTTCGGAGGAACCCATCGGCTGAGGAGGGGAGATCGCAGATGCTAATTAAATTAGCAATTGCCTAGTCCGGAGAGCTAGGAAGACAATACAGTTCACGAAAGGAGACAATCAGTCAGTTCTATTGATGATAAAAATACTGCTGGAAGGCTCCCGCAGTGTTAACATTAACTTTCTCGGATATATCAATGCATTCTATGGTGAGAGAAACTATATCACGACAACAGCTGAGAAATGTCTATAAAGATGTTAGGAAGGCTCAGTTATTTCCACTAGGTGTTCAGTCGGGGGAGGGGTGCTCGATACACTTGAACAGAAGCTGGGAAGCCCAGTGATCTCACTCCATGTCATCGTTATATTCAGCTTCCCTGTGGTGGCGGGGAACTCCTAACAGGAGCGGTCTAGCGCTTACTCGATAGAGGCTCTACAGTAGATGAGCAAGCTAGTCGACAATAGCGTAAATACTGTCACTAAAGTAAGGATTCTCCTAGTAGTAATAGGATGGCTCGAGGAAAGCATAGCAGGATGAATCGTAGTAGCTTTAAAAAAGTCCCTGGTTCAATTCCTGCAGGGTGAGATATTCGATCAGGGTACTCAAGTATCAGTTTAGGTAGGGTCAGTAGTAGTGACTCGCTACTAAAGTGAACTTGAGGAATGCTTAATGTTGCTCCTGAAGTACGCATGTTGTAGAAACTCGAGTACTTGCATAGGAACTTGAGGCGCCTTAGAGTGTTTACCTGAGTAGTGTAGGAATAACTTGCATCCTAATATCTTTGGTCGTCGCCCGCCCGACCGTTTTTCTATATACCATCTCGTAGCAGCATGGTCACTTAAGCACGATTGAGGTTTGCTTTCTGTCCTATGGTTGTGTTGAACGATAGTCTGGACAACTCTCCCAATACGGCTAACGAGTCTGTAATGAGTATACTTGTGCCTATTTGAGGTATTCGTATTTGAATTTGGTCCTATAAACTCATTTTCCTAAAGAGACTGGACCTAGCAAGTGTTGCTCCACGGGAATGAGATGATGGTATATATGGCAGGATGATTTGTGCTGACTTTGTCAGACCATGCTTTCAACTCACGGTTTCTAAACGGATGCACTCTCGCACTGTGTTGACATAGATTCGTTCAGAACAGCGGCGGTAGCGATGGAGAGTTGCACGCATGTACATGCCGATGTTGCTCCGTACCATACCTTTGTGAACACCTCAGGAATTAGGATAATAAGATGTTTGCCTTAATCCTTGTTCGACCTCCTTATTTCTTTCGTCGTTACTAACTTCCATGTGTATAGTTCTGTATGGAAAATTACTTCCGATGGGAAGTAGTCCCTTTAGGTCCGTCTTGATCGATTGTTTTCTTGTCCTTATCGTTGCAATGGTGTGTTCAGTCAGAGCTTAACAATAATACTCGGCATTCAGTTTTCTTAGTGGATTGCACTTCACGAGTGAAATTGACGTTGAGGAACGATCCTGAATTTCACAAGAAGGTTGTACTGAAGACTATTTATTATGGACACTTTCAGTGCACAATTCGAAGGAGGAACGGTAAGGCTCCCTCCCTTCAAGGTACGGCTTGCTGAGCAGTTCTTAAATTGGAGGGTTACTATCCGTTAACGCTTGTAACTGTTTCACTTCATATTTCCTACTGTACGCTTAGTTTAGTAGTAGAATGAGGATTCATCACACGAGGTTGTCGCGGTGCTTCTGAAGAGGTTTTATTTTCTTCCACAATGCCTTCAAAAACTCGTCGTCCTCACAGAAGCTCCCGAGGTGTGGGGGTGTTGATATCGATGGCAGCTGCTGTGCTCTTCGTTGCTAATTACACCTTAGCCTTCCTACTACCATCGAGCAGTAGTACTACTCAGAGTGCTTATCAGACTGATCTCAGCAGGTAGTAGTAATATGGATGAGTATTGTATCAACACTCGAAGAGTCAAGGTTGTTCCTCATGCGTTCGTGTGTTATCATTGCTCCTGTCGATCCTGCATGTTAGAATGTCGTTCAAGTACTTGTACCGGAGACGTGCTATCACTTGTCAGGTCGGGTACGATGCTCCGCTCGGGCGTACCAGTTGGTGCTTCACCTTCCCGTATGGATGTCGATTACCGCCCTATAGGGATGTTGGTACTCGGCGTGACCTTGGCATCACTCTTGGCGGCATCTGTGCATAGGAGGAAGTCCGGCAAGACTCTCAAGAGCAGCGGCTTGGCACGTCGTGCTGTGGCTGGGGTTAGTGCAATTGGCAGATTCGACCCTGGTAATACCTGTCTACCTTTAGCATAGTCGTTATGGTGCATGCTTCCCATTTGGGAGATCCGGGTTCGATCCTACCACATAGCATTGTTCAGGTCCGATAATGGCCGCGGCAGACTTGCCGTACTGTAAGGGCGTCGACCATCCTATACGTCGTAAAACTCGTACTGTTATGGTAAGGGTATCTAGGGAGCGCACGGCGAAGAATTAAAAGATATTTTTCAGGTCGGAAACGTGCCAGTTGGCAGTGAGCACCGACTGGCTCTGCAGACTATGAGCAATAGCAGTAAGTGGACCTAATCTGTATCTTCCTAGTTCGAACCTTGGATACGTTTCAGGTACAGATGATGTGGATGCGACTGTTAAACAGATAGAACGGTAGGTTGTTGTTCTTATGGAGTAGTGAGGTCATCCTCTTTAGATGCGCTGATGCTGGTATTGATATTGTGCGGGTGACGGTACAAGGCATCAAGGAAGCTCATGCTACTAGTGATTATGACGGATGCTATTCTATAGTGTTAATGATGTTTTTTAGAGTTGATAAAAGAGAGGTTATTGAAGGATGGCTACACTACACCCATAGTCGCTGACATACATTTCAAACCTAAGGTAAGGGGAATGTGGCCATGGTGTGGTATGAGGTTAGTCTTAGGTTGCAATGTTGGCCGCGGAAGCTTGCGATAAGATACGTATAAATCCGGGTAACTTTATCGATGGTATGAAGACCTTTGATAAGATCACTGAGGTACTCCTTGAGCGGTAGAGTTTATTGTTTTTGTATCGGTCTTGACCGTTAGCAACGGCTTGTATATGAGGCGTGTAGAGAACAGAATGTGTTCCGATCAGGGGTCCATCTAGCTTGAGAATTGTTAAACTATTAATCCGTTAGTGAGAAATAACGTTTCGAACCCGGGGCTGATTACGATGAGGAAAACGTTCTTGATGTGATGACTACATACACACGGGTGACCGATTGCAGAATGTGTTCTTAGTGATGTAGGAAATTCAAAATGTGGAGTTCCCCTCGGGAATATTATAGGTTCCTGGATGATTCCCTGATTCCAATAACCAATTCTTCGGACAAAGCTCGGTTGTAACGTCCCTCATAGTCGTCGTTCATATGCTCTATGATATTGACTTCATGCGAATTCGAGTACATTGATGGTTGCCACAGTGTATGTGCTTGAGAGCTACCGGGCTTATTCTCAGGTAACGCCAGAAATCGCAGCCGAATGGCAAGAGGAGATGTTCAAGACGTTAAAGCCTCTTGTTGAGGTGATACGACTACCACACCATTGCCACTTCACGTGGGGTATCTTCTTTGTGGTTAGTCTTTGAAGCGTCAAGGGAAGTGTATGAGGATAGGAGTGAACCATGGCAGTCTTTCGGAACGTATTCTTACGCAGTATGGTGACACGCCAGAGGTGGTTACGGGCGAATTATGGTAGAGGGCTGTGGAGGATCTTATTGATCAGGGTATGGTTGCTAGCGCCCTTGAGGTTGGCCTCATGTGCCGTGCATTGGATTTCCACAACATCATATTTAGCATGAAGGTGAATACTAGAGGGAGTAATGGTAGTAGTATGTATTGATGTTATTCAGTCCTCCAATACGCGGGTGATGGTAGCAGCATATAGGCTGTTAGCAGCAGAGATGGAGGTGATGCTGCTGGTGGAGACTATGAGGTGTAGTTATGGATGGTCATCATTCTCAGAAACGTGGTTGGGACTATCCCCTGCATCTTGGGGTTACTGAAGCTGGTGGAGGCAGTGATGGACGGGTGAGCTAACGGAGGCATATTCTGGTTCATCGACTTCTACTCGGCTTGTCCAGTAGTGTATCATTACAACTGTACTACTAATTGTGTCTATATATATCATCAATATATAGTATAGTTGGTGTATGCATACGACAATTAGTGCATGTGGGTGTGATGTCGTTCCGAATGCCGTGGAATTGTCAAATTCATGTTTCCATATTTTCTCTGCTGCTATTCTCATGCTTCTATCACTCCGGCATGGCATTTTTGTATCAGATAAAATCAGCCATCGGTATCGGCGCGTTGCTCCAAGATGGACTAGGGGATACTGTCCGAGTTAGCCTCACTGAAGACCCCTGGCATGAAGTGATAAAAGGATGAAGAGTTGCCCTTTTCCTTGATTGACTTTAACTCAGGTGGGGCCGTGTTCGGCTCTTCGTGATGTGTATGAGGAGTCGCTAAAGGCCAGGCCGAAGCACACCAGTAGCAATCGCTCTTCTGCTGGGGCTGCTGTTGCCGATGTGGACCCCTATCACTTCGCTAAGCGGGAGATCGATACTAGCGCTATTGATGTACTATCTCGAGGGGAGGGGCGAGCTGAGACTTCTCACAATTTGGAATTTTGGAGGCACATCACGTGTAAACTGGGGTTCATGATCGTCGTAGTGGTATCGTTTGCTGCATGGGGAATCGTGTTTCCATTGTCTAAGGCACCACTTCATAAGGATGGGAGTTTGATCCTCCGATACTCGCCTGAGGAAGCCAAGAAGAATTTGAAAGAATATATGAGTAGTGCCGGGATCGAACCTGCGACCTACGGTATGTTGGTTGCCTTCAGCGAAGGGCCTGGGTTTGAAACTCCGCAAGGATGGACGATATCAGAAGGACATTGGGTCGGTGGATGTATTATTGGTGGAGAATGAAACTGACGCTGATATGGATGTGTTGAAAGCTGTACAAGAAACGGGAGTGGTCATTTTGGGCACGAAGAATATATTGCCGGGCAGCACAGTAAGCCTGGGAATAATTTCGTGGCGCAGTGACGGTTTTCTCGTTGCAGTTGCTGGTATCTGAGCCGTCGATGTTGGACTCGGTGAATCCTGCTCGAGCTGGTGGCTGTGCGTGTATTGTTAGGAGCAGTGAGGATGTGGACAAGGTGTTGGGTCATCCTAAGAAGGTAGTGATCCAAGGGTTGATTCGACAAGGGGTAGTTTGAAGTTTGATAGTTTTGGGTAGATATGAGTATTAGTGACAGTGCAGTGAAATTACAGATGTAATAGCGTTAGTCTGATGAAGGTATCTATCTTTGAATGGTAGAGCGAGCGGAGCATACAGCGCAGGAGCATTCACTTCTTCGTTGTGCTTGATGGTGTGTGGAATTATTATTGTGACGAATGAACATCAATTTTGCCCATTTTGACCATGAAAATTATTCATTTTTTCTCAATTCCCAATCGATAGATGGGAACTAAGTGAGCACTGACCCTTCGTAACAAAGAGCTCGTTTATAATTATTGGATCGAACGAGTCGGGGCTATTGTTGTAGGGCGCTGTGAGATTCTTGATCTTCAAGCCTGACTCAGCGGCATGTCGAGTGCATGCTGGCCGCCAAGTAGCCAGGGCAGTGAGGAAGTCTAGGTTGCCTCTACTGGTGTGGTTTACGTATCCTGAGGGGGACTCTAAAGCTAGTAAGAGGACTAGGGGCGGGGTTATTGTGGATTTCGCTTGGTTTTTAGAGGCCGGATCGGACGCTGCAGTTATTCTGGGAGCTTCTGAGTTTGGCAGCTTATTTGTTGATGGGCTTGGCGATGGCATCTTTTGGGACGATCGCGGGCTGACCACCGAGGAAACGAGGGACGTGGGACTCAACTTGATGCAGGTGAGGAAGCATTGGCAGACTCGGTGACTGCTACGAAATTGCTTGTTAGGGGTCGAGGATGCGTTTGAGCAAGACAGAGTTCATATCCTGTCCGAGCTGTGGGAGAACGCTGTTCGACCTTCAGGACACCACGGAGAGGATTCGGAAGAAGTAGTATACGGCTTAGTGGTGGTGGTGCTGATGAAGCTGTGACCACGTATATATAGCATGGTCGTAGTGCGTTGATTCGGGATTTATTCGGATCTTGAAGTTAATAGCAGAATTTTTTGCACAGCTTTAGGGTAACGTGTGCGAGAGAGTATATGAGATCATGTTTAAGATCATGTATGAAGAGTTCGCACATTCTGTGTTGCTCTATAGTTCAAGGGATGTCCCTTCGTTTGAATGCTTTGTGATATCGAACATAACGACTTGTATAGTTTCGGTCTATTGCAGTTAAGAGAATGCAGACGGTATCAGTACTCGTATTTGACCGGGTCTAGCTGGTGGTTGATGAATAGCTTGAAAGAGTCGCTTGATTCAGGACTGGCCATCTGTCGGGACTGCGTATAGCCGTTATGGGATGTGTAGTGAACGGACCGGGGGAGATGGCTGATGCTGACTTTGGCTACGTTGGCAGCTTGCCTGGAAAGGTTGACCTCTATGTTGGTAATAATACGGGATATCGAGAGCACTAATCAGGCTTCCTTGATTGATATGTGCTGTTATTGCTCTCTAGCTAGCTCAGCTATGATCACAGAGGGAGAGTATATTCCATAGGCAGTGGAATATGTTGACAAAACATTCTATTGGGATGGGTGCTCAAATGAGAGGGTGGAATCAGCTCGAGTCGAAGAGTAATTCGATTAGAATGATATTTTTTTAAGTTCTAGATTTGTGGATGTGAATTCCTTCGCTCCACGATGGGTTATCGGATGGTTGATGTAGTGTTGTAGCTCAGCGTGGTTAATTTCTTTTTTATGGGGGTTACTTGTCTCATGGTCAGGTAAGCAGTGTGTGAGGAGAGCAGTGGACTATGATAAAGCTGAGGATGTAATATCGCGGTTGGGGGAGCAGCTCCGGTGACTATTCGGCCAATCATCACTTGGATAGCGCTTGTGATCAATTATGATGAACTGTTACGATTTGCACGATATGGCACCTCATGACTCTATCGAATTCGAGGGTTCGAAATCGACGCCGGATTGAGGTAGACATTCAATTCAGGTCTTGGTGGATTTGATCAAGTCGGAGGGCCTGTGGGTGGATCCTCCGGAGCCAAACCCGAGTAGTTAAGATCTTGCTCGTTATGTGATAGCAGCACATAGCTCTTCTTTTCTATTGAGTGAACCCATACTTGTTCTGTTGAAGTGTTCGACGAGACTGGGTAGAGGTTGGGGGGTTTTTCGGGTAGTCTGATTGGCCAAGTTGTTACCACTCTTGCGAGGTTTATACTCTCGACTTGCGCATGTGTTGGATTGTCAGTGTTGAGGCATATCATGCAGTGGCATAACGGCCCCAGGCAGAGGAATTGACGTGCCTACCTGTGGTGAGATTGTTAGTTACTGAGGCGTATCATGCAGTGGCATAACCGCCCCAGGCAAAGGAATTGACGTGCCTACCTGTGGTGAGATTGGTAGTTACTGAGGCGTATCATGGAGTGGCATAACCGCCCCAGGCAAAGGAATTGACGTGCCTACCTGTGGTGAGATTGGTAGTTACTGAGGCGTATCATGCAGTGGCATAACCGCCCCAGGCAAAGGAATTGACGTGCCTATCTGCGGTGAGATTGGTAGTTACTGAGGCGTATCATGCAGTGGCATAACGGCCCCAGGCAGAGGAATTGATCTTCCTATCTGCGGTGAGATTGGTAGTTACTGAGGCGTATCATGCAGTGGCATAACGGCCCCAGGCAGAGGAATTGATCCTCCTAATAGCTACAGAATAGATATTTAGATGGTGTCATAGTAATGCCACCGACGTTACGCGTGTGCTCGCTTAATTCCTCTCGGTAGTTGTGATGGCAGGTAAACATAGTGTTCCTCTTCGTTATGGAGACTGCTAGTACCGAGGCATATCAGGGGATGGCATAGCTGCCCCAGGCAATTGACATCCCCAATTACTATGCCATAGGAATTCAGGTGGCGCTATAGTAATGCCATCGACGTTACGCATGTATTTGATCAATCATAGGCCTCCACTTGGTATTTGTGATGGCAGTTGACCATAGTGTAACTTTGGTCATAGAGAATGCTTGGACCACTAATCTGTAGGATTGTTTGATTGTCAGTATTGGGTGTTTTGAATGTCTAACGGCGAGTATTGCCCAATCGGTAGTGAATGCAGCAATCCTGAATACTGTGCTGAGGGATCGATTTTCGAACAGTCTAATCAAGTGGGAGTTTGTCGGGCTTGCGGATTGGATGTGGTGAAGGAAGGGTGCTACTGCTCTAACGGCACGAGCTTGGTTTGTCCACCTGGATATTACTGTCCTGTGGGTGGTACGTCCGGTCCTATTCCTTGTCCGAAGGGATATTTCTGTAAACAAGGCTTTGCAGAACCTGTATCCTGCCCCTGGTATTCCGAGTGTCCACGGGGAGCAACTAACCAGATTCCTACTTGGGGAGCTATCTTCATTATCGTGGTCATCGGTGTCATTGTTGGAGCAGTCACTGTCTGGATTTGGTTCTATCGCCGGCGAAAAGAGAGGACGGCCACTTCTCAAGGAGAAGCCCATCAGCGAACGACGGAAATCTACAATAGTGTAGTCCAGGCTCTCACTGGAGTATATTTGCAGTCCCAGAGGATGCAAGGATTTACTAATGATATCAAATACACTCCTGTGGACATTCGGTTTGAGCATCTATCGATGACTCTCAAGTGGGGAACTCGAAGGGAGATTCTCCATGATGTTACGGGTGAATTTCCAGCAGGCTCACTAACGGCAGTGATGGGACCCTCAGGAGGCGGTAAGACGACCTTCATGAATGCGTTGTCCAATCGAGCGCCATATGGAGATGTGACGGGGAAGGTTTGGGTTAATGGTTTTGAAGGAAACTTCGGAGAGTATCCAAAACAGGTTGGCTTTGTACCACAAGATGATATTATGTTTGACCGTCTCACTGTGTATCAAAATCTCTATTATTCTGCTATGGTCCGCTTGCC